TCATAAGTATGTCTACAGATGGACTTGTTTCTGTCAAAGCATGGGAATTTTCTCCCACTTAAGATATCATCTCTTGATGTGGGTTATGAGTTTCGGACTGAAAAAGTCCCCTTTATGCCTTCGTGGTCCATTTTAATTTTTTTTTTAAACCCTTGCAAACCAAAAGATATTTATTTTTATCGCTTTCTAAAATTCACTCCCAACACTAAACAATAAAAGATTATATTTCTATATAGGAGCTCGAGGGATATGAAACAACAAATACATAGAAGAGATATATATGTAAGAAGTTGTTTACCTCAAGGCTTGCGCATGGTTTGAGGTACAATATCACCGAGTAATCCTTGTTCAGAGGGATTAGACGACACTACTGGTGCATTTTGAGTAGTAGATTGGGGTAATCTTGGTGAAGTAGTATTGTCTCTGTGAAGTTGATGAAGGAGTTCTTGGTAATAATAAGGGTTTGGCAATGGAGGAGGGAGATGATGATGAGATGTGAAATTATGAGGGTCGTGAGCTGTGAGGATTCCACCTCGAGGGAATCCAATGGTTTGATGGCAATGTTGTCCTTCGTATGTTGTGATTACTATCGATGGATCTTCTGATGATCGTTCCACTCTCTTCTTCACCGTGCATCTACTATTCGTGCATCTATAGTAGCTCCTATTTATCAAAACGACAAGAAAATTAAAAGTTGTTAATTACATAACTAGATGCATATGAAACTATTTACTAGAGATTAGCTAGTATATAGTTGCATATGCATTGGTTAGAAGAGCTAGGTAATATAAGAGATTGAATGTAAGAAATTGATGATATAGGAGACCTAGGGAATGGGCTATTCTTGACAGCCTTTTGTCCATATTTACGCCATCTATATCCATCTTCAAGATTATCTACATCACTCTTGGTCATGAATGCGAATCTCGGTTGCCTAATTCGCTTTTGAGCCTTCTTCTTCTCCTTCTTTCTACACAAAACATCAAAAGATTAGTACATCACCATATATATATGCATCAGAAACCACAGAGTAACCCAAGCATGTATTTATTTTGTTCTCAATTCTCATGTCAACAACAAAAAGTGCTTTACTAGTATACGTCATTAGCTTAAAACATCTAACAAAAAAAATGCAGACTCGTGGGGTACTGGATGAGTCTCATCCATTCTACATTGCTAGAACGATGTAAAATCATACATGTTTGAATAAAAACCCTACATATCGATCATATCACCATATATAGAATATTAGTTTAAGGTTGTTTTAACTTTGACATAAACAACAATTGCTATACTATGTAGATAACACATGATTAAAATGTGAAACACTTTTGACCTAACATTAGTTTAATAAAAAGGAAAAGACGAGGAGAGAAAAAGGAGATGTAGAGTGCACGCTAATACCACAGCCGCAATAGCGGCGCTTATGTTCATCATTATATTTTTTTTCTTTCTTTCCTCAAACTACCACCGACGATTCATCGAAATTACTAAATTCACCATTCCACGAGAGGAACTCTTAAAACCCATTTGTACGGACGGATTCTCCACCTTTCTTACGATGAAGAAAGAATGGAGAAAAAATAAGAGAGAATAATAAAAAAAAATGGTTTTTTTCATTTGGTAAACATGTTAAGAAAATGGTTTTTTCTTCTTCTTTCACTATATGGCTTTGGCCCCAAGGGAAAAAAAAAAAAAAACCTCCCCACCACCAAAACCACCATCAAGATGATGAGTAAATTACGATCGGACCCCTGCAAACAAAACACAAAGACCCAACACGTGTTTCTCGTCTTAATCAGAGTAAAAAACTCACGGTGTCTCTGGTGTTTTAGCGGCGGAGGCGGTTGAGTTCTCAGTCGGATCCTCGCTTGAGCTGGAGGTAGCTGATGGATTATTAGAGGTCGAAACCTCTGTGACCGCTACGGCGGAAGGGGAACAAGAAGAGGTGGATTGTAGATTTGGAAGGGGCTTGGAAGGTTGGACTCCGGCGGTTTGTATTGAACCGGAGTTGAATCTGAGATTGTGATGATCGGAGGAGGAGGCGTGTAGGTTCCATCCGAAGTCAGAGAGTATATTGGAAGTGTCTCTGTCTAAGAAGTAGTCAGAATCTGTGGCTGTGAGTTCTCCCCAAGCAGAGTCGTCGTTGCTCAGATCGGTATTCTCAGGATCGTTCATGATGATGATGA